TGACACTGTCTAACCATCTCATCCTTTGCCGTCCCCGTCTTCTTTGACCTTCAATCTTTCCCAGCATCAGGGTCTTCTCCAGTGAGTGCTCCCTTCTCATTTGGTGGCCAAAGTATTTGAGCTTCAGTTTCATTATCTGGCCTTCCAGGGAACAGTCAGGGTTGATTTCTTTGAGGATTGACTGATTTGTTCTTCTTGCAGTCCAAGGGACTCTCAAGAGTCTTCTCCAGCACCATAGTTCAAAAGAATCTATTCTTCGGCGCTCGGCCTTCCTTATAGTCCAGCTCTCGCAGCCATACATGACTACTGGGAATACCATTGCTTTGACCATGCGGACTTTTGTTGGCAGGGTGATGTCTCTACTTTTTATCATGCTGTTTAGGTTCGCCATCGCTTTCCTCCCAAGGAGCAGGCGTCTTTTAATTTCATGGCTGCAGTCACAGTCTGCGGTGATCTGGGATCCCAGGAACGTGAAGTCTGTCACTACTTCCACAGCTTCCCCTTCTATTTGCCAAGGAGTGATGGGGCCGGATGCCATGATCTTAGTTTTTTTGATGTTGAGCTTCAAGCCCACTTTTGCGCTCTCCTCTTTTACTCTGAGCAAGAGGCTCTTTAGATCCTTTTCACTTTCAGCCATTAGAGTGGTATCATCTGCATATCTGAGGTTGTTGATCTTTTCCCCAGCAATCTTAATTCCCGCTTGTGATTCATCCAGGCCAGCATTTCGCATGATGTACTCTGCATATATATTAAATAAGCAAGGTGACAGTATACATCCTTGTCGTACTCCTTTTCCTATGCTGAACCAATCAGTTGTTCCGTATCCGGTTCTAACTGTCGCTTCTTGGCCCTTATACAGGTTTCTCAAGAGACATGTGAGGTGGTCTGGTACTCCCATCTCTTTAAGGACCTGCCATAGTTTGTTGTGATCCACACAGTCAAAGGCTTTAGCATAGTCAATGAAGCAGAAGTAGATATTTTTCTGGTACTCTCTTGCTTTCTCCATAATCCAGCGAATGTTGGCAATATGATCTCTCGTTCCTCTACCTCTTCGAAACCCAGCTTGTACTTCTGGTAGTTCTCTATCCACGTACTGTTGAAGCCTAGCTTGTAGGATCTTGAGCATGACCTTGCTAGCGTGTGATATGAGTGCAATTGTGCGATAGTTTGAACATTCCTTGGCATTGCCCTTCTTTGGGATTGGAATGTATACTGATCTTTTCCAATCCTGTGGCCACTGTTGCGTTTTCCAAATTTGCTGGCAAATGGAGTGCAGAACTTTAACAGCATCATCTTCTAAGACTTTGAATAGCTCAGCTGGAATACCATCACCTCCACTAGCTTTGTTGTTAGTAATGCTTTCTAAGGCCCATTTAACTTCACATTCCAGGATGTCTGGCTCAAGGTCAGTGATTATACCGTCGTGTTTGTCAAGGACATTGAGGTCTTTCTTGTATAGTTCTTCTGTGTATTCTTGCCATCTTTTCCTAATCTCTTCTGCTTCTGTTAGGTCCCTACCGTTTTTGTCCTTTATCATGGCCAGCTTTGCATGGAACGCTCCCTTGATTTCTCCAATTTTCTTGAAGAGATCTCTAGTCCTTCCCATTCTATTGTTTTCTTCTATTACTTTGCACTGTTCATTCAGGAAGGCCTCCTTATCTCTCCTTGCTGTTCTCTGGAAATCTGCGTTCAGTTGGGTAAATCTTTCCTTTTCGCCTTTGCCTTTCGCTTTCCTTCTTTCCTCTGCTATTTGTAAAGCCTCATCAGAAAGCCATTTTGCTTTCTTGCATTTCTTTTTCTTTGGTATGGTGGTGATTGCTGCCTCCTGTACGATGTCACGAACCTCTGTCCATAGTTCTTCAGGCACTCTATCTATCAAATCCAGACCCTTGAATCTATTCTTCACCTCTACTGTATATTCATCAGGGATGCGATCTAGGTCAAACCTGAATGGCCTCGTGGTTTTCCCAATTTTCTTCAGTTTAAGTCTGAATTTTGCAATGAGTAGCTCATGATCTGAACCACAGTCAGCTCCAGGTCTTGTTTTTACTGACTGGATAGAGCTTCTCCATCTTTGACTGCAAATTATATAGTCAATCTGATTTCGGTGTTGCCCATCTGGTGATGTCCATGTGTAGAGTCGCCTCTTAGGTTGTTGGAAAAGGGTGTTCGCTATGACCAGTGTGTTCTCTTGACAAAACTCTGTTAACCTTTGCCCTGCTTCATTTTGCTTTCCAAGGCCAAACTTGTCTGTTATTCCAGTTACCTTTTCACTTCCTACTTTAGCATTCCAGTCCCCTATGATGATGAGGACATCATTTTTTGGTGTTAGTTCTATAAGGTGTTGTAGGTCTTCATAGAACCGGTCCACTTCAGCCTCTTCTGCATCAGTGGTTGGGGCATAGACTTGGATTACTGTGATGTTGAATGGTTTGCCTTGGAATCGGACAGAAATCATTCTGTCATTTTTGAGATTGTATCCCAGTACTGCCTTTTGCACTCTCTTGTTGACTATAAAGGCCACACCATTTTTTCTACGAGATTCCTGGCCACAGTAGTAGATATAATGGTCTTCTGAGTTAAATTCGCCCATTCCTGTCCACTTTAGTTCACTGATTCCTAAGATATCGATGTTCAGTCTTGCCATCTCATTTTTGACCACGTCAAGCTTACCTTGATTCATAGATCTTACATTCCAGGTTCCTATGCAGTATTGTTCTTTGCAGCATCGGACTTTCCTTTCACCATCAGACACATCCAAAACTGAGCGTCCTTTCGGCTTTGGCCCAGCCGCTTCACTCTTTCTGGGGTTACTTGTACTTGCCCTCTGCTCTTCCTCAGTAGCATATTGGACACCTTCCGACCTGAGGGGCTCATCTTCCGGCGTCATATCTTTTAGCCTTTTGATACTGTCCATGGGGTTTTCTTGGCAAACATACTGGAGTGGGTTGCCATTTCCTTCTCCAGGTGGATCACGCTTGGTCTGAGTTCTCTGCTGTGGCCTGTCCGTCTTGGGTGGCCCTGCACGGCATAGCCCACAGCCTCATCGAAACAATCAAGCCCCCTCGCCACAACAAGGCAGTGATCCATGAGGGGGAATTTCTTGCTACTAAGGGAGAAAATAAAAAGGAAGAATCAAAGACATACAAGCCGGCTTCCTGAAGACAGCCGGGCAGCTCTGGAGAAGCACAGCGGAATAGGATGGAAAATTAGAGAAGCCAAGCATACAGATGGGGGAACAGGCTGGGATTCAAAACCTGCTACAGATTGGATGGACGGAGGGATAACTTTTTACACTTCCTGCTAAGATGAAGTAGCAGAGAAGGTCTTGGCACTGGAATGTGGGAGTGACGAAAAGTCCATCTCTCTGGAGATGAGTTGATTTGAAAAGGGCTTTTCCTTCTATGTTGAGAAGGGGAGTTTTTCTTCTTTTGCATTACAAGTAAAAGTCTCCAGGAGTAATGTTCCTTTAGGGAGACTGAGAGTTTAGGTAGACAAATAGATGGCTGAGTTTACATGACGGAGTAAGGGGGAGAAATCTTGCTATCCAGCACTCCAGGTTATCAGGGAGGGAACCCCTTAGGTCCTTGGAGAGAAGGCCCTGTGGTGGACTCCAACCAGGTACAGGTTTCGAATGGTTAGTGGAGGAGTTGCTTCATATTCTTCGTACATGCTCAGTGTGACTCACTGTCATATTGACATCCGTTTGATCCAGATTCTATTTTTCATTAGGCCCATGTGTACAGGGATCCAAAACCGAGGTCCCTTGTGAGGGGGGAGTCCAATGGCATCAGGTCAGATCCTGATTTCTCAGTTGCCAGCCTTTACAACACACCCTTCTCCCTGAATGGGATTGCGGCCCTCTGTTCTGACTGTGATCTGGTATGGATTTGTTCTCCTTAAACTTCTTTGGTTGGCTTTGATCTCGACTATGTTTCTATCCTTCCAGAAGATTTTTTTCTTTTCCTTGGATGCCTTTAAACCTCCCCCCCCCCACCACAGCAATAACTGGTATCCTTTCCGAAAAACATGGGGGTACCTTTTGAATTGTGGGGATCAGTTGTTGAGGTCCTGGCTTCTACCTTCCCCATAGCCAACATGTTTAGAGGGGAAAGAAGGAAACTTCACAAATAAAAATGGACCACGCAGTCAGGCGGGAAGCCACTTTTAACGTGTATATTATTGTACATTTCAATCTACAGCAGGAACGAGACCCTGAAATGCTTTGAGTGTGGATAGAATTACAAGTGCAAATCAGACCTCCTTCTGTGGGTGCTAATGAGATCTCTCTCTCTTTATTCCAACAGGGGATGATCAGAGGAACGAGGAGGATGAGGAAATGCATCGCCTATCTCCGGATGAAGTCAAGAAGGAAGACCTGAAAGGAAACTTCGGAAATCAAGGAAGCCCCATGAGGCAGAAAGGAAGCCATACACTCAAGAAGGGGGATCAACCCATTCCTTGCCAAGGGGGGGATTTCCATGAAGTAATTCACATGGTGGAGGAAACGTACAACTGCTTGGAATGTGGAATGAACTTCTCCGATCAAACCGAATATAATACCCATTTGGAAAATCATAGTGGAAAAAAGACCCATCAATGCCTGGAATGTGGAAAGAGCTTCCTTTGTAGAACAGAACTAATTAGCCATCTAAGAACACATGCAGGAGAGAAACATAGTTGCCCAGACTGTGGTGAGAGTTTCTCACAGGAATCAGACCTTATTGAACACCAAAGCATTCATTCAGAAGATAAGCCATTGATCTGCTCAGAGAGTGGAATTATATTCTCTGATGGAAGTCCGGGAAATCTACATTTCCCAAGTAACATCATAATGGAGGCATGTAAATGCTTTCGGTGTGGAATGTACTTTGAATACAGATCACAGCTCCTTGTGCACCAAGAAATACACGCAGGGGAGACAGGTTTTGAATACCCGGAATGTGGAAAGAGATCGAGTGACAACGGCAATTTTCAACAGCATCTAAATACCCTCACAAAGGAGGAAGCTTTTGACTTCTCAGATTGCAGCCAGCAATTTAGCTTCAGTTCAAATCTTCTAACGCATCAAAGCACCCACACAGGGGAAAAACCTTTTGAATGCTCAGAGTGTGGGAAGAGATTCCGTCACAGACGTAGTCTTCAACAGCACCTAAAAATCCACAGCGGTGACAATCCTTTTGAGTGCTTAGAGTGTGGGAAGAGATTCAGTCGGAGTGGCCATCTTCAGCTGCATCACAGAACCCACACAGGGGAGAAACCTTTTGAATGCCCAGTGTGTGAAAAGAGATTCAGCAACACAGGTGGCCTTCAAAAGCACATACGAGTCCACACAGGGGAAAAGCCTTTTGAATGCTCAGAATGTGGAAGGAGATTCAGTCTGAGTGGTGATCTGCAACAGCATCTAAGAACCCACACGGGGGAGAAACCTTTTGAATGCTCAGAGTGCAGTAAGAGATTTGGTCGGAGCAGCGATCTGCAGCAACATCTAAGAACCCACACAGGGGAGAAACCATTCGAATGTTCAGAGTGTGGAAAGAGATTCATTCGGAGTAGCCATCTAAAACAGCATGTAAGAACCCACACAGGGGAGAAACCTTTCGAATGTTCAGAGTGTGGGAACAAATACAGTCAGATTTATGACCTTCAAGAGCACTTACGAGTTCACACAGGGGAGAAACCTTTTGAATGCTCAGTATGTGGAAAGAGATTTAGGTTGCGTGGCAGTCTTCAGCGACATGAAAGAATCCACACAGGGGAGAAACGTTTTGAATGTTCAGAGTGTGGAAAGAGATTCAGGTTGAGTGGCAGTCTTCAACTGCATCAAAGAACCCACACAGGGGAGAAACCTTTTGCATGTTCAGTGTGTGGAAAAAGATTCGGTCAGAGTAGCCATCTGCGACAGCATCAAAAAACCCACACAGGGGAGAAACCTTTTGAATGCTCAGAGTGTGGGAAAAAATACAGTCGAGGTTACGACCTTCAACTGCACATAAGAATCCACAAAGGTGAAAAACCTTATGAATGTTCTGATTGTGGAAAGGTATTCAGTCAGAGTTGCGATCTTCAGCGGCATCAAAGAACCCACACAGGGGAGAAACCCTTTGAATGCTCAGTGTGTGGAAAGAGATATAGTCAGAGTGGTCCTCTGAAAAAGCATCTAAGAACCCACACAGGGGAGGGAGCTTTTGAATGCTCAGATCTTGGGACGAGATTCAGTGAGAGCGGAAATCTTCACCAGCATCTGAGAACTCACACAGGGGAAGAAACGTTTTGAGTGCTGAGAGTGTAGAAAGAGATTCAGTCACAGGTGGCAATCTCGTACTGCATCAGAGAACCCACACGGGGAGAAACTTTTGGAAAGCTCACAGTGCGGAAGAAAATTCAGTCAGAGTGTCAGTCTTCAAAGCCATCAAATAATCTTCATGGGAGAAACCTTTTGGGTGCTCAGAGTGTGGAGACAGGTTCAGTCGGAATGAAGGCATTCA